TGCTGAACCCAAATCAGCTCTACATTTAGTTTCAATTCTTTTAAAATCATCCCCTCTTGCGTTGAATGCTATAAGATACCAGAAGGGTAAAAGTAAATCTTTATAAATATATGCCCAAAACATGGTCGAACCCATAACTGACCCAAAGGGGAACATGTTCAACCTATTCATGTTAACTTCTTAAGACCCGAGAAAAGATTTTTAGGAAAAAATTAGTTTTTTTTTTTCATGTCTTTCCAATGACTTTTTTTAAATGATATTTCATTCATAAGTTATGCTATGTCCTCGGTAGAGGACACCGGGACTCAAATGTATTTATTTTTTAAATAAAAAGATGAATGAACATGCATAGGCAAAAACAATTGATTTTTTAAATCACCAATACATTTTTAGTTTTCAGGATTTTTTTTTTACCAAACTCTGTATAAAGATGATTCTATAACATATAACTATGTTATAACAGAATGATTTGATATACCATTTTTCTTTCTGCAAAATGTGTGTAAAATGGCCATAAACGGGTTTTCTCATTATATACAATGTATCTATAAACTAAATCTAATTTGCATATTAATGTGTTTTTGGGTAACATGTAATGAAAAAAGAAGTGTCATAATGGGAGTAATAATTGACAAGATTTTCATAATAATATATTATGACAGACAGTTTGAAAATTAGACAGATTTAAATGATAATTACAAAATATTATCATATTTCCATAAGAGTGTCACTAAATTAATATCAGACATATTTGAAGACCAAAGAGAGGGAGTGGTCATAATGAACCATCCAAACATTTAGTATCTCTGAAAAGCCCTGAATGTGCTCTGTACAGGACATCCAGACTTAAAACTGTGGCATGTATAGTCTCAGAGAAATACACTAAAATATAATGTCCTCATATGAGGATGCAGGGTCTCAGGAGGTTAAATCAACAGATGATTGTTCACTAATGTTTTCAGTTAATCAATGTTTTTAAACATTTATATTGTATTTATTTTAGATTTTTGCATGTTGTTATAATAATTATTATTTATTCTTATTTATTTATATAATGATTTGTAGAACAACCATATTTTGTGTATGTGTACAGGATGACAAAATGTTATTTTATTTTATTGTTTTATTTATTTTTATTTTTATTTATTTATTTTTTTATTTTTATTAAATACCACATATGTGACACATCCTTAGCACAAAATGTACTGAAAATATAAAAATTGTGTAAACCACTGTTACATCATTGGTAAAGTGGAATACAAAATTGTCACCTTCATGTATTAGTTAGTTATTAGTTCATTTATTACAATTTCAGTTTCTCTAAAAATAGATGTCCCCCATATTACTTATGTATTAGGCTCAAACATCCAAGTTTGTGTGGTGACAAGTTTGAAGTTGGAACTCGGTTGCTGAATCATTTTCCTCTCTGGCTCTCACATACTCTCTTTCTCACTCTGTGCTGATGATGAGGGGCTTCTTTTCTGTGAGTTTGCTGAACACGGCATGTTTCATTGTTTCAGTGTAATCCTCACAGACTCAGCGCCAGGGTATAAGAGCTGAGAGCACGGTCAGACACAAACACTCTCAGAGTGAACCCTGGGTATGGACACACACTCACTGAACACACAGGTAAGACATCAAAATATCCACTCACACATACACATTAAACTTTAACCCAACAGCTTGGAGAGTACAAGAGGCAAGTTTTGATTTGCAACACCAACACCCCACACTTCCCTTTGTCCCTACCACTTTAAAATAGTTTCCCCCCAAAGACCCCTTACATCCATTCCAAACATAAGTTTTTTGTATTTTTCATCTCCTAAAAGACTTTATCCCTCTCTTCCAGCATCAAATACTGTATATTATAGTGGTCGGCCCTGCCATTTCTTTATTATTTTTTCTCCGTTTTATCTCTCATTTCTGAGGTATATTACAGTTATATGAATATTCTTTCTTTTAATTTTCTATTATTAATTTTACCTCAGGCGCCATGTCTTCCAGTGGAGAAAAAAAGACTGCCTCCCAGACCGACGGCAAGGCAGCCCAGAGCAAGAAGTCCGAGATGGGCATGATGTCCTACAGGGTAAAGCTTTCAAATAAACATACACATGTGCAATTCTGCTTGGTCATTGATTTAATATGATAATAATAGGTTTCTCTCTTTCTATTAGATGTATGTGTTCGACCAGGAAAACTTCCAGGGACGCATGATTGAGATTAACGCTGAATGCATGAATGTTTGTGAAATGGGCATGGACAGAGTTCGCTCACTACGTGTGGAGTGTGGCCCGTAAGCATCTCTGCATCTATATTAAACACTCGTGATTTACAAAGAATAACATATCTCACTCACCTCTTTATGTGCCCTCTGCAGTTTTGTGGGCTTTGAGCAGATGAACTTCTGCGGTGAGATGTACATCCTGGAGAAGGGTGAGTATCCTCGTTGGGATTCTTGGAGCAACTGCCAGAAGAACGACTACCTGCTTTCCTTCAGACCCGTCAGAATGGTGTGTAAATGCTCTCACAACTGTAGGCCCATTGTTTGAATGCTTTCACAATGCATTCATTGCGTTTTCTCCTGCAGGACCCTGAGAAGCACAAGATCTGCCTGTATGAGGTGGGCGAGTACAAGGGCCGCAAGATGGAGATCATGGATGATGACGTTCCTAGCCTGTTCTCCTACGGATTCACCGACAGAGTTGGCAGCATCATGGTCAGCTGTGGAACGTAAGTGCAAAGTATCTTAGCCAGTGTGATTTCACTCGGTCAAACCTCTGTGCACTTGTGGCCATCACAAATGCTTGACAGTATTAACAAATGTGGCTGTCAAGAATTTATTAAACTGTAAACTAGAAGTAATACTTTATAGCAATAATAGAGATAGATATAACAATAACATATCTTGCACAACAAGATGCTTAAGTTACTAGATGCATAATTGAGATATTTTATTAATACATTATTTGTTTTTATATTTTTATTTATATTTATATGTACATTTTTCATATATTTATTTAATTTTAGCTTAAGTTTTTACATTTTAATGTTTTTGTCATAATCATTAGATTTAAAAAAAAATGTCTATAGTTTTTATTTCAGCTTTAGTTATTTTACATCAAGTTAAGCTAACTGAAAAATAGTAATGTTGCCTTGCATCTAGCTGAAATAAAATAATTATATTGTAAAAATATTTTATTTACTTATGAAAATCTTTTTTAATGGTTTTTGTGTACTATAATAACCCTGGTTTAAATATATAAATTAGTTTATGCATAGTATAATCAAGGGTGCATTAACTAAAAAAGTCAAATGTAAAAAAAAAAGTATTTTATTTTATTACTTATTTTTTATATTTTAGTTACGAAAATGTGTTTATATTTATAGTTTCCATTTTCATTTTCATTTTATTATTAGTTATTAAGTTATTAGTTCTTTTTTTTTTTTACTCTATGTAGTTTTTAGTCATTTTTATTTGTTTTACTTTTAGCTATTTTAGTACATCAAGTACAACTAAATGAAAAAGAGATGTTTTGTCTTGGAAACTAGCTGAAATAAAATAATTTAAAATTGTAAAAAAATATATTGTAAAAAATATATTTTTTTATTTACAAAAAGTTTTTTTTAATGGTTTTAGTTTAACCCTGGCTTAAATACTACACCTAGTACAGTATCAAGGGTGCACAAACTAACCTCTTTGTTTTCTTCAGCTGGGTGGGCTATCAGTACCCCGGATACCGTGGCAGCCAGTACCTGCTGGAGAAGGGTGAATACAGACACTTTAACGAGTATGGCGCCCGTTGCCCTCAGTTTCAGTCTGTGAGGCGTATCCGTGACATGCAGTGGCACCCACACGGCTGCTACACCATGGCCAGCAAGTGAAGGCCAGACCAGGAGAGGAAGAGGGGAGGTGGAGTAGAGGGAGAGGGGCGCAAGAGGAAGGAGAGGAGGAGAGATGTCTGAGAGGCTGCATCTTCCCTGTGTTGCTGCTATGACGGGGCAGATGTTTTTGGGATGACAGACTCCCTGGCTCACATTGCAGTCTGTGTCTGTCGAGCTGTTAAAGCCCAGTGGGGCTGTGATTCTCCCAGGCCTCTGAGTGTCTCTGTTTGGGACGGAGGCACCAATAAAAACACTTCCCTCTTCCTCCCTATTTCCTCTCCTCTCTTTCTCTCCTGCATGGTTTCTTTTTTTCCTTCCATAATTTATTTCAATTTTTTGTCATCTGTTCTTTCCCCGGCTCACATCCCCCTTTCCCCAGGAAGATGGAAAGAGAGAGGGAGAGATGAAGGGATGAGGAGAGGAAAGCTCCTGTGCCCTAGAAATCTCCCTTTGCCTGCTGTACAGAATCCTGGTCACCTTTTGAATAAAATGCTAAAAGCTTGATACCATACTTTTGTCTTTGTGAATCCATCATCATGGCTGTCAATAAAATCTTGAGAAACTTGCAGTAATAGGAAGGCGAAA